AAAACTTCCAGGGCCATTTCCTTCCTTTGTGGTATATAGAAGTTAAATGCCCTCCCTATGGGAAGATGGAGGGATGATGCTTTAAATAAAACTTGCTTTAACTGCTTAAAGCCTTTTGAGTTTTAGTTTCCCAAGTTAGGGAGTGAATTTTAGCCGCTTGAGTTTCTTTAGTGAGGTGGTATAAAGGGCAAGCTATTTCACCATATCCAGCTACCCACAGTCTACAAAATCCAGTAATGCCTAAGAAAATGCCCTTACCGTTAGAGGAAATGGGCTTCATCCTTTCTTTACCTGGTGCTCTGATACCTTCTGATAATACCAGACCCAGGTACTCTACTGAAGTTTGAAAGAGCTGAGCTTTAGGTTTTGAGACCATATACTCTTCCTTTCAGCTATGAAATTGAGGAGAGCCTTAGTACCTCCCTGAGACCTCCTTGGTTGGGGCACAAAGAAGAGTGTCTTTACATACTACAAAGTTTCAGCTTGAGGGTGACAAAAACTAGAAAGATCTTTGGACAGGGCCTGTTTTGGCAACTTGCTTCTGCTATCAGGGGCTGCCTGAGTAACGAACCTTTTCTTTTCTTTCTTTTTTTTTAGACAGCGTCTCACTCTGTCACCCAGTCTGGAGTGCAGGGGTGTGATCTTGGCTTACTGCAACCTTTGCCTCTTAGGTTTGAGCGATTCTCCTGCCTTGGCCTCCTGAGTAGCTGGGACTACAAGTGCCCACCACCATGCCCAGCTAATTTTTTGTATTTTTTAGTAGAGACAAGGTTTCACCATTTTAGCCAGGATAGTCTTGATCTCCTGACCTTGTGATCTGCCCACCTCGGCCTCCCGACAGGCCTGAGCCACCTTGCCTGGCTAAACCTGTTCTTTATTGAATCGGGAAACAGGGAAGTGTGTTTCACTAAAGCTTCTTTCAGCCTTTCCAAAAAGGCTGAGGGATTTTCATTTGGTTTCTGATTCAACAAGGACAGTTTTAAGTAATTAAGAGTTTTGGTTCTGGTTATTTGCAAGCTTTTAATATGCACATCAGAAAGTGTTTTCTTTTTCACTCATCTATGGGATCACCGGGGCTCCAATTAGGGTTTTCAAGGGGCATGGTTTCTCTTCCTATTGGGAATGGGGATTCTATCTCTTTTTTACCCTCTTTCCCTTTTTGACTGGGTTTTTCTTTTGACTGGCTATAGGAGACATGCTGTTCATCTCTGAATATCTCTGCTGGCTGTAGGGAGCTGCCTGTTTCTCTGCAACAGTTAGGATTTGGCTTAAAAGCAGCATGGCATCTCTCCATGTAAGATCAAACACTTAGGATAGATTTTAGAAAGCCTCTATACATCTATCAGGGTCATCGGAGGACTTGCCTAGGTCCCCCTTCATTTGTCTAAAGTCCTGCAATGATAAGGGAACTTGAACTCTGGTAACACCATGTCCATTCGGCATTTCTTGCAAAGGGAATGGCGGCGTTGGCAGTTTTTGGATAGCGTAGCTGGAGGGGCTGATTCTATGGCTATTGGGGGCCCCGGATAAGGGAGGCAGATAGGGCACAGAGTTGCATTTGAGGGTCCCCCAAGGGTTTGCCTCTCCGACTTTGGAGAATTTTATTCTGTGGGCCTGCCATATACGGCTGCCAAGAGGGAAGGGTTAATTTTACAACACTTACCAAGATCTGGGTTGTCTCACAGGGCAAAAAAATATCTAGTTGTTAGATAGTTTTAAAATTAATGTTTCCCTAAGGAGGCCAGGCCTCCTGTCTGTAAGGTAGCCACACCCTTGTGCAATAGAATATAAGCCATTTTTCCTTGAGAGCCTCATGGTCAAAGGAGTTCCAGTGTTTCAGATGCACTTGAGGAGAGTGTGGACCGCGGATGGTTTGTGACCCATCTGGAAAGAGAAGGGAGACAAGGCTTCCCTCAGTCCCTTTCCCACTTTCAATGTGACCCAGGGTGGAGGGAAAGAGAGAAAGGAGGTCCCCCTTCTCCTCTTTCCTCTGCCTCCTCTGGGTCCCAGCTGTCATTATAGATGCCACCCATGGATGCAAGCATGACCTTCACCCATGCGTCCGGAGGAGCTAGTCAGTACTAATGTGGTGCATAAAGCCCTAGCTTTCTGCCTTGTTGGTTTCCTAGACCAACTCAGCCCAAAAGGCTCCCGAAGTACCTGAGTCTGTTTAATGGAGAATGTGTCCTACCTAACACTACCTCTGACTTCCCTTGCAATGCCCCAGAGAAACATCAGAATCTCAGAGAATGGGACAGATTGACTTCCAAACATAAAATCCCGTTTTGTTTAAATCCCATCCCAATGTTCTTGGATGCAGAACAGGTGCCTCAAAAGAATGTAAGGATTGAAAGGCCATCCTTCTTTGAGGGGCCAATACTGAGGTTAAAATCTGTCTTGCAGGACAGCTTCCTCCCAGGCACTGGGAGTGGAATTTTTCTGTCTACAAATAGGACATTGGGCCTGATCACTGATAATGGGACATAAGAGGGAAAATAACTGAGGAACTATAAGTTTTGTACAGTTAACAAGGCGCCCCACCAAACAAACAAACAAAAGCCCATTCCATTATGTGGCGCTGTAGGATTAGAAATGCTAGGTAAAAACTGGCTCCAAATTCTAAGAAAAAAGTTCGAAAGAGAGGCTTGGGGTTTAATAGGCCGTCCCCACAGGACGCCTCCCAGCAGAAGAAAAATAACTTGTCTCATAGAAAGGCGGTCTAGGGCCGGGTGCGGTGGCTCAAGCCTGTAATCCCAGCACTGTGGGAGGCCGAGGCGGGTGGATCACGAGGTCAAGAGATCGAGACAATCCTGGTCAACATGGTGAAACCCCGTCTCTACTAAAAATACAAAAAATTAGCTGGGCATGGTGGCGCGTGCCTGTAATCCCAGCTACTGAGGAGGCTGAGGCAGGAGAATTGCCTGAACCCGGGAGGCGGAGGTTGCGGTGAGCCGAGATCGCGCCATTGCACTCCAGCCTGGGTAACAAGAGCGAAACTCCATCTCAAAAAAAAAAAAAAAGAAAGGCGGTCTAGTCCTCCTGGACGGTGCTGGCTTCTCACATGGGCAAAGAAACAGCCTAATGAAGTGGGAGGTAGTTGTTTGGGGAGAAATAACCCCTGTCCAACCCACTGAGTGCTGTCATTGAGAGATAAACAGGTCTTCAGATCCAGGTCTTGGAATCCTCCCATTTCAACAAAACCACAGAGATGATTCACTGAATTACAGTCCTAACGACTAAGTCACCGACTGACTTTATCCAGCGAGATTATATTCCTAAAATGCAGAAACACCCGCAACATTGCATACAAAGAACGGATAGGGAGCGGGTGCGGTGCCTCACACCTGTAATCCCAGCAATTTGGGAGGCTGAGGTGGGTGGATCACCTGAGGTCAGGATTTCTACACCGGCCTGGCCATTATGCTGAAACCCTATCTCTACTACAAATACAGTACAAAATTAACTGGGCGTGGTGGTGCATGCCTGTAACCCTCACTACTCAGGAGCCTAGGGCAAGAGAATCGATTGAACCCAGGGGGTCAGGTTGCAGTGAGCCAAGATCATGTATTTTTAGTAGAGATGGGGTTTCACCATGGTCTCAAACTGCTGGCTTCAGTGATCCGCCTGCCTCGGCCTCCCAAAATGCTGGGGGTATAGGCATGAGCCACTGTGTTCGACCTTTACCAAGTGTTTTGAGGGCTCACTTTGAGCCTTGGGAAAGGAGGGGTGAGGGCCCAGGGAAGGTAGCTGAGGAATGCAGGGGAGAGAGGGGAAAGAGAAAAGGAGTAAAGGAGGGTGTGTGAGGGCCAGGATTCACCCTGACAGCTCAGTGACCGCTTCCTGCCACCTAGGTTCCCACCGTGGCACCTTCCTGCAGGTGGTTTCCATCCTTTATTGATGGCTGAGAACTTGGCTTTATGAAAGGCCCCACACTATTTGTCCGGCATGAGTCCTGGCAAAGTTTCTTTTCATCATTCGGGGGGATGGGATGGGGATGCATAAGTTTGCAAGTGACTAGGACCCAAGTCAGGACCTTGTGGAACCCCTCAGTTAACTGACAAGTAGCCTCCTTCCCCGACTCCCCCTGCAGGACAGTTTCTTGCAAGACAAGGTCTGGAGAAGGCCAGGGCCCCCAAAGCCACAAAAATGCCCAGGGATGAGTCCCGGCTGGAGATGCCTTGGCTCACCTGACTGTGCCCTTCCAGGGCACACAGGGCAGGGACTCTGGGGGTCTGGCCAGGAGACTGAGCAAGAGAACCAGGGAGGTTATGCAGCAGGCTTCTGCACAGCAAGGCAGACAGTCCTCTTGGAGCCCCCGCCCCAAGTCAGGTCCCCCACCTCTTCTTCCTAAGGACCCTTCATTGCAGCGATTCTTTTACTAGAACCACAAGGTGACAGCACATAGATTTCAGTGCCCTCATCTGGCCAACCATCTGCAGTTGCCAATGCCCAAGGCAGCCTCCCTCCCTACCAAGACCTGAACTCAGGACCTTACCTTAAGGAGAAGATGTCCTGTTCTTTCTTTCCCATCAGAACTGCCTGACCCAGAACCCATCTCTGTCTGGTTACCGGGACAGTCCCCTCACCTGTCTCCCAGGTTGGGGAGTGCAGATTCTCCTAAGCTCCCTGCCCCTGTGAGCCTCCAACAGTCTCGTGTGGCTCCAGCTCACACAGGAATATCCGTGGCCCATATTTCCAAAAACCCTTTCCCTCCCACTCTGAGTCCATCCTCTACTGCATGTTCCCCTCACAGAGCAGACACTGTTTTCTTCACATCCTCGGTTTGCTGCCCAGGCCCCAGACTGACCTTTCTTTTATAGAACTGCCTCTCCCTCTTTGGACAGTGTCTTTCTGGTACTGCACATGAAGATGTCCCACCCTTCCCTGCTCATGGAGAGTGCCTGACCTGAGCTGGGCCCATCATATCCAGTACTTACCTGGAATAGGAGAAGACAGTCAGGGTGGCCAAAGATTACAGAAATCTCTGAAGCTCATCCACTTGAGAGTCCCGGAAGATACTGGTCCTTCATTCCTGCTATGTATATCCAATGTGACTGAACTCTGAATAAAAGGTACAACTCATAACAATGTAGTAACTGACTCAGCAAACTAGGACACAAACATGTTAGAGGGTGAGGTGTTGAGAGGCGTGTTTGGGGGTGGTGGCGATGAGCAAGTACGTGAGGGAGAGATAGGACCGAAACTCAGAAAGCAAAGAGGAATCATAGCTACTTAGAGATAAGGAGCTAAATAATTCCTTATATATGATGAAACTCTGGGAGTACACATGGGGACTGCTGTTTTACTAAACAAATTTTCAAGTATATATAACCTTGATGAAGTATCCTAAGTCAAAAAAAATTTTTTGCTATATATTTATGTGTGTATATAAGTATTTACATACACATGTATATTTCCATTCATTGCGTTTTGAATATAAATTTGTGTACAGTCATGTTAATCCCTCTTTTCATTTAAGGATTTGAGTTTGACATCACGCATAAAACATGTCCCCACTGTATGACTACAGAAATGTTGGCAAAAGGAATTTCAGAGGAAATGGTAGGCAAGTGCTACCCAGTTTTGGCCAGAAGATGGAGAAAAAAAGACTTCTCACAAAATGTTAAAAATGTGGCTTGTTATATCTTCTTTTCATGGTAATTTAGGCAGAAATTAGCAAAATCAGAAATGTACAAATACCTTGATCGGGCAATTCCATTTCCAGGTATCTGCGGAGCGGTAGATGGGGGATGCACGACAGATCTACGTGTCGGTCTGATCCCTGCAGTTGTGTTTGTAATAATACACATTGGAGCAATATCATGGCCATCAGGTAGAGAAGGTTTGAAAAATGATCCACTTGTATCAGGAAGGATGTTTAAAAGATCAAAGCCTGATGGAAATGCTGGAGGCAATGGCGCTGATGGGAGCTCATGTGTATTGAACAATTACTATGTGACAGACATTGGGCTCCACGCTTTTCCTGCACAGCTCATTTAAACATTGGACAAGCTGAGTATTCTGGTTTAGTGCATTTGACATATAGAAATGGAGGCACAGAAAATTAATGTGTTTCACTTCAAACCCTGGCAGTTCAGGTTTCTCCCCCAGAGTCTGTGGCTTCATCAGAGGTGTGACTCAGGTTCCGTCATTCTCCATTGTAGGAATTTCCAGTGTTCCAAATATGAGCAGCTGAGAAAACAAACTCAAAACCCTAAACACCAGGATACGTAAGGGAAGATGTTTGTTGGGTGTGGATTAAAAATGGACTTTTTTGCCCCAAGCAACAAAGAGGCATCTTGCAAAATAGACAAGAGACAAGAAGAAGAGAAGTTTCTGTTTGTTTGTTTGTTTGTTTGTTTGTTTATATAAGATGGGGTTTCACCATGTTGCCCAGGCTGGTCTTGAACTCCTGACCTCAGGTGATCCACCCACCTCAGCCTCCCAAAGTGCTAGGATTACAGGCGTGAGCCACAGCGCCCGGCCTGAAGAGGTTTTAAGATATATTTGGTCCAAGGAAGAGACTCTTCAGATGGAAGGTCATGTCAGCTAGAAGCATTCATGTGACTGATGGGCTTGAACAACCGACATTTCAGTCAACATCCGACAGCACTACCCTAGTGGTCCGGAGACACTGCTTGTGAAACAGTGAAAGCTGTTGCTCAAGTGTGTCATTCATCATGTCAGATATTGTCATTTAGTAGTACAGGGAAGTATTCTCTGTTGCCAAGCTCGAGTACCCAGAATCTTCTGTTTTGTTGAATCTTCCTCCCCACCACCAGCCTCTTTAGAAGACTGGGAGCTCTGCAAACATCCAGGCCGAGAGTCCTGTTCTTGTGCATGTTTGGGCATTGATCCAGGCCCAAATCTGTGGGAGACTCCTCCACGCACATTCCAGGTGCCCAGGTGACGGCGGCAGTCTCTAGGTCTGGGGTCATCCACTTTCCCATTCCTAGCCCACCTCACCCATCATGAAGCCTGGTCAGGGTTGCCAGAGATTCCAGTGAGCAGTTGCTGATATTTGTGTGTGTGTTTGCCAAAAGAAAACAAGAAACCTGCTGTGTGCCCACCTGGCTGATCTCTCCACCTTTCTAGCCAAGGGCTTCCTGAGCCAGGACCCTTGGGTTTGCTCACAAGGCAGCCCCTCACCTAGTAGGCATTGGTTCATTATGTGTATGTATATGTACATGTATATGTATATGTGTATGTATATGATCCTCAGGCTGTATTCCTTAAATATATGTAAATATATAGAATTCCTTAAATATATAATTTTAATAAAAAATTTTTAAAAGAGTACTTTACAATAGCATTAGGAAATATAAACTATATAGCAAAGATGTGAAAGCCAGCCAGGCTCGGCTTCAAATCCCAGCAACTTGGAAGACTGTGGCAGGAGGGTCGCTGGAGCTCAGAAATTTAAAACTAGCCTGGGCAACATAGTGAGACCTCGTCTCCACTGAAAACTATAAAAATTATCCAGGTGTGTCGGTGTGAGCCTATAGCCCCAGGTATTCAGTGGATGAGGCCCTAGGATCTCATGGGCCTGAGAATTCCATGCTGCAGTGAGCTGGGACTGTGCCCCTGTACTCCAGCCTGAGAGAAAGAGAGAGATTCTGTCTAGAAACAAATGGAAAAAAAAAAAAAAGATGTGAAAGCCTGTATATTGAAGACTACCAGGTATTGCTGAGAGCAGTTAAAGACCTTTAGAATAGAGGATGTTCCTTCTTGCATTTCAAGATTGCTTTTGTTCTGGGGGCACGCTTGCTATTTCTTAGGAATATGAAGTTCTTCTCAGCCATTCCTATGAAAAGGGCCATTTTGAGAAAGTTGTATTGAATCTGTGGATAGCTTTGAGTTGTATTTTTATCTTAACCATGTTACATCTTTTAACCCATGGACACAAGATATCTTTCCACTTATTTAGGTCTTCTTTAATCTCCTTGAGCAATGTTCACAGAACTGGAAATAAACAACTTAAACTTCATATGGAACCAGAAAAGAGCATGCATAGCCACGACAATCCTAAGAAAAAAGAACAAAGCTGGAGGCATCACACTACCTGACTTCAAACTATACTACAGGGCTACAATAATCAAAACAGCATGGTACTGGTACCAAAACAGAGATATAGACCAACAGAACAGAACAGAGGCCTCAGAAGTAACGTCACACATCTACAACCATCTGATCTTTGACAAACCTGACAAAAACAAGCAATGGGGAAAGGATTCCCTGTTTAATAAATGGTGTTGGGGAAACTGGCTAGCCACGTGCAGAAAGCTGAAACTGGACTCCTTCCTTACACTTTATACAAAAATTAACTCCAGATAAATGAAAGATTTAAACATAAGACCTAACACCATAAAAACCATGAAGAAAACCTAGGAAATACCATGCAGGACACATAGGCATAGGCAAGGACTTCATGACTTAAACACCAAAAGCATTGAAAACAAAAGCCAACATAGACAGAATAGATCTAATTAAACTTAAGAGCTTCTGCACAGCAAAAGAAACCGATTGAGTGAACCAGAAACCAACAAAATGGGAAAAAATTTTTGCAAGTTACCCATCTGACAAAAAACTAATAATCAGAATCTATAAAGAACTAAAACAAATATACGAGAGAAAAAGTAACCCCATCAAAGAGTAGGCGAAGGCTATGAACAGACACTTTTCAAAAGAAGACATTTATGTGGCAAGCAAACATAAGATAAAATGCTCATCATCACTGGTCATTAGGAAACTGCAAATCAAAATCACATTGAGATGCCATCTCACGCCAGTTAGAATGGCAATCATTAAAAAATCAGGAGTCAACAGATGCTGGAGAGGATGTGGAGAAATAGGAATGCTCTTACACTGTTGGTGGGAGTGTAAATTACTTCAATCATTGTGAAAGACAGTGTGGTGATTCCTCAAAGATCTAGAAATAGAAATACCATTTGATCCAGTAATCCCATTACTGGGTATATACCCAAAGGATTATAAATCCTTCTATTATAAAGACACATGCACACGTATGTTCATTGCAGCACTGTTTACAATAGCAAAGACTTATAACCATCCCAAATGCCCATCAATAACACAGTGGACAGAGAAAAAGTTGCACATATACACCATGGAATACTATGCAGCCATAAAAAGGATGAGTTCATGACCTTTGCAGGGACATGGATGAAGCTGGAAACCATCATTCTCAGGAAACTGACACAAGAACAGAAAACCACACACCACATGTTTTCACTCATAAGAGAATATTGAACAATGAGAACACAAGGACACAGGAGGGGAACATCACAAACTGAGGTCTGTTGAGGGTGGGGGGCGAGGGAGGGATAGCAGGGGATGGGGAGATTGAGAAAAAGTAGCATTAGGACAAATACCTAATGTAAGTGATGGAGGGAAGGAGGCAGCAAACCACCATGGCATGTGTATACCTATGTAACAGTCCTGCAAGATCTGCACATGTACCCCAGAAGTTAAAGTAAAATAAAGGAAAAAAGAAAAGAAAAAGAAGACATCATCCCAGGGTGATGTGGTTTGTTCCCAGTAATTTGAAATATTTAAAGAATGGTTAAGTGATCACTTGACAGTTATACTATAAACAGAAATAAGATACACAGAGTTAAACATCATTACTTTGAGAAGATAAATTTTAATATCATTTTCAATCTTGAACATCTTTGGTTTTATTTTGAAAAAAAAAATCATCAATCTTAAAAAGATCGCTGCAAAACAAAGGGATTATAGTGCATTTGCTTTTTCAAATAATAAACTTGGAAATATGTTAATATGAATGTCAACGGTCAACAGTCAATGTAGTGTGGCATATTAAGAACTGACTTTCATATAATAGGTAAGTTTAGAGAGATTACATTTCATGAGAAAATGTTTTATGAATTTTAATGGGGTATGTTTCTTTAAATCTAATTTTCGAATCTGTTTTGGGAAATAGTTGTCTGTTTCTTTTAGTGTATTCTCCTTCCTGTCCACATATGTGGAATTACCTATTCTCTTCACTTTTGAAAGAGTTTAAAAATCTCAGAGAATGGCCTGGGCTTTGCATGTCCTTAGTCTGATAGACATTTCCCTGGCTGCTCACATGAAGATATTACAGCTAACTAAGAAAACTACGTCTCTTGTCAGCCAGAAATGAACAAAAGCTTCAAAATCAGTGAATTCTCTGTTTTTCTGTGGCCTTATGTGCTGACAG